GCCTCTCACTTTGTTGGTGAAAACATGTTATTCGTTAAAACAGTACATTATTGTGTGTACTATTTTGAAACGAATTTATGACACAGTGTATAGTCTTGTGTAGTATTCCAGATCCGGATACATCATCCGAACAAGGAGTAAAGCAGCTTTGAGGCGAGGAGCACAGTCAGTACATATATCTGTTGCGCTCCTCTCGTGGTTCGGATGTGTCCAGATGTGGAATACCACAGTAGAGTATACACTGTGTTATACGCCTCTGAGTCAGTACATATATCTGCTACCACTGTGTTATATGTACTGCTGCCTCAGTACATATATCTCTTATGTCCAGATGTGGAACACCAGAACAGAGTAATATATTACATTGTGTCATAGTTTCACTTGGAGTTGAGCATCCCACTCATCCGAATCAGAACAGTATAATGACACAAACTTGAGTTTGTGAGTAAAACGAGTTGTGGCTCTTCACAGACTTAGAGGAGTAGGATGACCTGTATTTAGAAGTGTGAGGACCAGAATGAATCAGAGTTCTGCACTGATGATCGTGTACATGTATAGAGCGAGAGAGATAGAAAGAGAGAGAGAGACAGAAAGAGCGAGAGAGAGAGAGACAGAAAGAGCGAGAGAGAGAGAGACAGAAAGAGCGAGAGACAGAGAGTTTTAGAGAGACTATACTTAATTTTCAGGAGACGCAGGGTCGAGCACACGCGTAGACCATCAGCCTCGTTTTTTAAAGCATTTCAGACGATCGTTGTAGGAGAGCAGCAAGGTAATGTGAATCTCCAAGATAAGCGAAGCTCGGATGTATCCAAGATCACAGGAGATAGACAGACAGAGGAAGTCCGCAAGAAATGGTCGTGTACATTTGAAGAGCGAGAGATATAGAAAAAGAGAGAGAGACAGAAAGAGCGAGAGACAGAGTGTCTMAGAKAGACTRTACTTAATTTTCTCGAGAYGCCGCACGGACRGCGCAGGGTCGAGCACACGCGGAGATCATCAGCCTCGCTTTTAAAARCATTTCAGACGATCGTTGCAGAAGAGCAGCAAGGCAATGTGATTTTCCCAGATAAGCGAAATTCATATATATCCGAGATCACATGAGATTGACAGAGAGGAAGCCCGCAAGAAATGGCATATTAGCACGCTAGAGGGGTGAGAGATGGAAAAGATAAGCACCGTATAGTCACCCACAATATTTCGTGTCACGAACGTATCCGAAATGTCGAACTAGTATAGACCCTTCAGTTTGAAGTTTCCCCTGTGCTTTTTGGGACACAGTTCAAGAAGTATCTTTTGCGAAACTTAGAGAGAGATAGAGATAGAGATAGATAGATAGATAGATAGATAGATAGATAGATAGATAGATAGATAGATAGATAGATAGATAGAGAGAGAGAGAGAGAGAGGAAGAGAGACAAACATTGTACCATCATCCACCACATTTTTGATCCATCCGGAGTGTCTCGACTGTGAGTCCCTTCGCTACGATCTAGACAGAGCTGACAGAGATAGAAAGAGCGCGTCAGAGAGATGGAGAGGGAGACAAAGACAGAGACAGGGACAGAGACAGAGACACAGAGAGAGACAGAGAGTGTGGATGATCGCACTGAATTTTCTTTTCTGTCGACGTGTGGCACAGGAGACGCATGTTCGAGAAATACGCGAAAACCACAAGTGTAGTTGTGCAAGAGTTGCAAGGTTTTCGTTAGGCAAGAGTAAGCCAAGTTCGGATGCATCCGAGATGACAGGGGAGAGGGAGTCCGAAGCAAACAGCAAATGAGCGCACTAGACACAACTGTGGGTGTGTGTGTGCGAGAGAGAGAGAGAGAGAGAGAGAGAGAGAGAGAGAGAGAGAGAGAGAGAGAGAGAGAGA